TAGAGTACTTAAGTGGAGGCCCAATGCCCATCTGCTACCTTAATACTAAACCTATAAATATATGCACATAGTTCTATTTCCCATCATCATATGTAAGTATATTTACATATGTACATGCCTATATTTAGACCTCTGTAAATGCCCTTTACCTCCTACTTTTTCCCTCTATTTCTTTTTACTTTCCTCTTATCCCACTATCATGCTGAACCTTCATTTGGGTTTCAGTAATTCCTCTCGGTTACTGTACCCTTTATCATGCCCTACCAGGCCTCCTACACCCTCCTCACCACTGATTTTGGGTCACTTGTTGTTCCCTTGTCCCTGGGCTTCTTAACATCACTTCCTTTCCCTCACCTTCCTCTCTCCCATGTCCCCCTGAACAAGTCCAATCAGTTTCTAATGTGTAAAATATTTACTCTGTCAATCTATCAAAATACTTTAGAAAATCATTACAATTTTCTAGATCTTTGTTTTTGTAATTAAGATGAATCTTAATCACTATACTTTAATTATGTTCAATTTATAACAATGAAAATACATCCTATATATCACATATTTACATTATGATTCATAACAGTAGCAAAGTTACAGTTATAAAGTAACAACAAAAACAATTTTATGGTTGGGGTCACCACCACGAGGAACTGTATTAAAGGGTTGTGGCACTAGAAAGGTTGAGAATCACTGTCATATAGGCTCATATGAGTCTGGATTCACTTGAGGGCAGGGGGTTTGCCAGTTAAGCAATGGAAAAAGAATCTCTTTACTCTATAGCCTCAACAGATCAAGTAATTGCTAGATGTGTTGGATCTCCATGCTCATTGGTAATTACAGGAACTCATCATATTTCAATAAAAATGTAATTATCACTCTAATAATTAGCTACTTGATGCTGACCCAACATTTTCATGTGACTTACTTTAAGGGTTTTTTTATTTGTATTTAACACACTAATTATAGTGAGTTAAGGCAGACATTCACTTTTAACTTAGTATGCTTGTTAAGTAATTCTCCTACCCTATATGGTACACTGTGTCTCTTGCTTAAGGAAAAGTTTCAATTGTCTCTTAATTTTTTTTCTTTTCGTTCTCTTTCTTTTTCTTCTAATGTTATGATGACCTAATTACATTTTATGTGGTATTTCCTGTGCCTTGTGTTATTTTCTGTATTTGAAATCATATTATCTTTTTTGTACTTTAAAGTAGTTGTTAACCTGTTCTGATTTTCCATTCATTAAGTAACTCTCTAACAGTCATTGATGCACATCCCAGAACTCCTCTGGCAGAAGTCAAGTCTCTCTCAGGTTCTCAGTTTCTCAGCCTTGTGCTCCCTTGTCCTTTGACTCCATGGGCCATGACCCAGCCTGCCTGTCATTCTGTCTCAAAGTCCTATTGTCTTGGGGCAGATGAGAAGGTGCCCGTAGTGCAAGCACTGCTTCTCTGAGTCTCCATACCACACACTCTCGTGTATCTTGTCTCAGCAGGCTCCACTACTTCAGACATGGATCTTGGACTGCTCTTTTAAATGGTCCTGAAATGTGTCTCTGTGTTACAGATGGCTCTTATGCATTGAAGGATGGCATTGATGGAGGAATGGTTTGTCTTTTGGTTGACCATAACTCCAAAGAAAATGAAAGATTTTGTCTTCAGTCACACCTTCTACTAAAGTAACATTAACGATAACCTCAAGGAAACAGGGCTGACTAGGTTCACACTTCCGACTAAGAGCGGATTTTGCTGTTGTTAGGTGCCATTGAGTAGGTGCCTACCCATAGCGACCCTACACACAACAGGACAAGACACTGCCCGGTCCCATGCCATTCTCACAATTGTTCCTGTGTCAGACCCCATTGTTGCTGCCACTGTGTCACTCCATCTTGTCTAGAACCTCTCCTTTGATTCCCTTCCATTTTACCAAACATGATGGCCTTATCCTCAGGTCTTAACCCAAACTTAATCCTGTAAGAGAGAACTGCCTCAAAAATGACATAGATGCCTCTGGCAGAAAAATCCACATTATAACACGTCACATAAGGAGCTATGGCTAGAAGGGCCCTATTTGCTGACTGTATCTCACCCCCTCTCATTGATTCAGCATACTTTTCTGCTCTGCATATTGTCTATGCTTCCACCCAGTAGCAGTGGCTGCAGCAAGGGGCTCAGTCATAGGAACAGTTGTGAAGATGGCAGAGGAGAAGGCAGGGGTTCCTTCTGTTGTAACTGGAGTGGCTAAGAGTTGGAGCCAACTCAAGGGGACCTAGCAGTAACAATTAACACCCAGTGACCGGGGGAGAGTTACAGGGACTGTGGCGAGACGAACCTTAACAAGTGGTTTCACTTCACATCACAGTGATTTATAGGATTTGTCTTTATTCACTGTTGATAGTAGATTGCTGAGCCTTTCCTTCTAATTGCTTTTGGTTTAGAAGCTAAAGTGAAACTCACCCACCATAAATGAGTCTACTGGTATTTGAAATACTGTTTGTATAGCAGCATATCTGCTCCAAAGATATCACCATATGGAGAACTGACATATAGATGAAGGGATAGAATAAAGTATATGATTAACATATGTGAAAATTCTGTTAGAGAGTTGTTTGGTGAACTGAAAATGAGAACAGGTTAACCACTAATTTAAAGTAAGTACAGATAATATGATTTAAAAGACAGAAAATAACATTAGGTACAGGAAATATCATATAAAATGTAATTAGGTCATCATAACCTTACAAGAAAAAGAAAGAGAAGGAAAGGTCAAATTTTAAGAGACAATTGAAACTTTTCCTTACGCAAGAGATCCATTGTAACCTATATGTAGGAGAATTACTTACAAAGCATACTACTATAAAAAGAAATGTCTGCCTTACCTCACTATAATATAACAACAGTTTGTTAAATACAAATAGAAAGACCTTAAATTATGTCACATGAAAAGATAGGTTTAACACCAAGTAGTTAATAATTAGAGTGATATCTACATTTTCTTTCTTTTTCTTTTTTTTTTTAAATATGGAATGATTCACGAATTTGTGTGTCATCGTTGTGCAGGGGCCACGCTTATCATCTCTGTATCATTCTGGTTTTAGTATATGTGGTGCCGAAGCGAGCATGATATCTACATTTTCTACTGAAATATGAAAACCAGGACATGACGAGTGCCTGTAACTACCAACGAGCATGGAGATCAAACACATCTAGCAACAACTTGACCTGTTGAGGCTATGGAGCAGAGAGACTCCTCTTCCACTGCTTAAGGAGCAACCCCCCGCCAGCGAGTCCATCCAGACCCATAGGAACCTGCAGCAGCTTTCCCAGGCTGAAAATCTTGATGGGGACACCCGGTGTCATTCCACATTGCTTATAGGGCTGCCATGCACTAAAGACATTATGAAAATCTTTATAGCCTTATCTACTCATGTTAAACTTATACATTGTCTATGACCTAGCATTTTCTCTGAATTCACATTACAGAAATGCCAAATATGTGTCTAAAGGAATGATCATATTCATTTTCTGTTACTAGATATACACTTTAAAAATGTTGATCAATAAAAGATAAATTGTTGTTTCAATTACAATGACGTGATACCTGGAAATGAAAATGAATAAAATATATTTTCACATAAAGACACTGATGAATATAAAAATAAAGGGTTTAAATTAATAAACTTATCAAGAAAGAATATATGCAATTTTTCAATTTATTCAAAGTTAAAAAATATTGTTTAAAAAAAGTTCAAAGTGACTTTATATAAACAAACTTACTTTTAATGTTAGACGTGATAGTAGCGATATGCTATTGAGCTTAATGATGGGAGTCAATGGGAGAGAAATGAGGGGCTTCTGAAATGGTACGGCAACTGTTCTGTGCATTTATTTAGTATTTTACTTTCTTTTTGTGCTATTCTTCAAAATGGTTAAAGAAAACTACTGCTTTATGGTATTTGTAAGACTATCAAAACTTCCATAGACTTCCAGAAGAGGAAACACGTATGTCTTGTCTGAAGCCCACCCAGAATGCACCTTGGAAGGGAGGTGGCTGTGCTCCATTTCCCTTCCTTTGGGCCTACTCTCAGGAAGGGCCATTCCCTAGAGAAGGACAGCATGCTTCGTGACGTAGAAAGTTAGCACAGAGAAGAATACCCACAGGGGACGTATAGGTAGGATGACTGGAATACTAGGCTCAAATATCACAACTGAGAGACTGGTGCAGGGCCAGGCAGTGTTTCATCTGCTGTGCATTCAGTTATGATGCGTCAGAACTGAAGTGACAGTAGCTAAGTGCATCCACTTCTCCAACACTTTTGTATTGTGGGCTTGAGTGTTGCTGTGAAACTGGAAGCTATTCTAACAGTGTCACCCATGTTGGGAAGGTTTCAACAGAGTCTCATAGTAGCACAAATTAAGAAGAATCTCAGTAGACTACTTGCTGTCATCAAGTCAAACTGAAACCCTTTACATGAGTGGAAAGTCTCATTTTTTTCCCCCATGGATCACCTGGTCCTGCTGTTAACAGCCCAAAGGAGAACCCACTATGCCACCAGCACTCATTTTAGTAGATTATCAACCCCAAACCAAACTCACAAGTTGATTTTAACTCACAGCAACCCTATAGGACAGGGTATAACTGCCCTTGTGGGTTTCTAAGACTTTAACTCCTTGTGGGATTAGAAAGCCTTGTCTTTCTCCTGCAGAGCGGCTGGTGGTTTTGAACTGCTGACTCTGCAGTCAGAATCCCAGCATATAATCACTCCACCAGCAGGGCTCCTTACTAGTAGACTACACTAGAATCTAAATATAACTATTACATACACTAGGATTCTTTTGACTCACTTTCTTTTATTATTCACTTTATTATGTTGTTTTTTAACAGAACCTGCCTGTTAGAGTTACCTCTATATTTCCAATAGTGTATATTAATTGATTATAAAATGTATAAACATAATTTTAAAGTAAAATAAGGTAAATCCATCTAGTACAATACCCATACACTAGGGGGATTAAAAAAGCGTTGTTACAAAATCATAGAAAGTGTTATTAAACCACCATATCAAAACATGACACTATTATTTCTTTACACTTCCTTCATCTGGTTCAATAAATTCTAATGGCAGTTTTTTTCCATAAATTTTGTAAGCCTCTTGGAACTCAAATTGCGTTTTTTCTTTTTTTTCAAATCACCTTTTTTCTTTATTCGATAGATTAGTTGGGATTTTTACTTAAGCATATGTCTGGGAATAATTTACTGTGGGACAAAGACCTGTAGTTGTCCTTTGAATTTCACATTTGAAAATATCACAAGCAATCATGGTATCTTTATTTTCCAAATTAGCCAAGAAAAGAGGAGCTACACAGGCCCCTAAACAAATGGGAAGGAAAGGGCCTAAATGCTCAAAGCATCCTTCTGGAAGCAGACTTCCGCCTCTTTCTGCCTTGGAACTGTGGTTTCCAACACCAGCCTTTCCTTAGGCAGCTGAAGGGAGCAATGATTGCATCACCAGGCCCTTTCTCACGCCAATAGAACAATGACAAGTCTACTGAACACACACCCTCCTCAGCCCATACCCCAAGCTTTTATCTGGCAAATAAACTTGCTTTCGTATCAAGTTGCTGACTCCTTAGTGCAAATCCAATTTCACAATCCTTGTCCTGGCTTCTCTAGGAGACTAAATTATTTCCCCCTTTGACATGTCTGTGCCTTGCATTGTTTCACTCCGCTTTGGGGATAGTTCCTCCGCCATGATTTCCCTGATGACGATTGTCTCCAACATGTCAGGACATTGGTTTCCTTTATGAATAGGTCTTTCAGGAGTGTCTTCTCATGACCTCTCATTTAGTTTTTTGTACCTTCTTAACCTCCATTTCCTGTTCACTGCCTTTTGTTTGCTTTGTTTATAGCCCCCAATTAGACATGTTATATACAGAAATTAATCCTCTCCACCAAGTGTATTACTATTTTTTATAAAAAATCAAATACAATTGCTAACTAGGTTTTTGATATATACGAAATATTTTGCTGTTGAAAAATAAAGCATTTTT